ATTCCTTCTTGAGAGGAAGGAATTGTTATATATTCTTAATGCTACCTACATTTTTGTTACTTTTATTATTTACTTCGTATTTTCATGATTGTCAGATTATTGTCTTGCCTTGTCCTTATTATTGAAAGTAATAAATTGGTATACATACCATACTGCAATACATATAATACAGGGTGGAATTTTTAAATGTAATAAAATTATTATCAGAGAGAGAGAGAACTGTTTATTTTCTGGAAAAATAAAAAAAAACGGGTCGCTTTATTTTTAGTTTGGCACATATTTTCTGCCTTTTCATGGAATTTACCCCTCTTTTAAGGGTAGAAACCACCCACAACTTTTTTTTTTCAAATGTAAAGATATGTATTGTGATAGCTCGTTGAAATGGGCATAAAAAAAGGAATATGACCTATTATTTACTTTTGCATTTCGGTGATCTAGAGAGCGAGAAAAAAATAAGAAAATATTTTTCCAAACAATTTTTTTGCAGTTAAAATTGTTCAATATCTTCAGCATTTCTTCTTGGTAGAACCCTAAAGCGAAATAGGCCCCATTTGTAACGTTATGTAATTATTTCTGACGTTAATACACTATTTGATGCCTGATCCTCGGATTCTCAACCCTAATAGTCCGGGAGGCAGCGGCTTTTTTTCCGAGGAATTTCATCACGGCTGAGATTAATATGGTACGTTGTAGTCACATTCCTAATGACGAAACCGACCGTCAGCCTCAATACTATCGGTGGGTGGGCGCGTGGGAGGCTGCGGAACTCGTGAAAAAAAAAGTTTTCTACAGTGATTTCATCTCAGCTGAAATTGTTTACACACATTATTTATAACAATTAGCAACAGAAAAAGACCGTCAGCCGTGCCGTAGAGGGGGGATGGTGCGTCAGTCGAGCGCGTGAAATTGACAAAAAAATATGAATTTCAAATTATTTCATCTCGCTTGAAATTTTTACACATGATTTCATACATATATAGAAATATAATAATGACCGTCAGCTGTCTGTCTAGTGGGGGTAAGACCGTCAGTCAGGGCGAAAATGAATGAGCGCGCTCATGCAATTATACGACGCGCGGAATTTTCTATCGGCTGACTGACGGCTTTTCCCCCAATAGACAATCAGCTGACGGTTATTATAATATTTCTATTTGTTGAAACTACAATACTTATCAATTTCAAATGAGCTTATTACGATTTACCCAAGATACATGTAAGTCAACCGGTGTGAAGTTAGCAGCCTTTTTCCGGCAGCCAAAAATGTGAAGTTAGCAGCCATTTTCAGCAGCCTTTTTTTATTTATATTTTTTCAACGTGAAGGTAGTTTCATTCATGTCTATGGTAGTTGCCTCAAACCAACATGATGTAAGGAGGCTGTTAGGACACACAAAAAAATACATTCAAAAATTTAGTAATGTCTTTTAACAAAGTTTGTCTAAAATATGATTAACTTATGAATCCTTTAACACAGCTTATTAGGGTGATAAATGGTGATTAATCTACAAGCTAAAGCTTCGAGTCTTCACGCCCTTCACGATCCGTCAAGGTTGAAAAAAAAACCACCCCCATATATTGAAAAAATCGCAGAAAAATAGTAAAAAATTGTGTGCGTTAATAAAACTTTGCACACAGCTCATTGAGGTGCTAATGAACCTACGAAATGAAGGACAACCCGTTACGACCCGCCAGGATAGCAAAAAACCACCTCCATATGTTGAAAAAATCGCAGAAAAATAGTAAAAAATTGTTTGCGTTAATAAAACTTTGCACACAGCTCATTGAGGCGCTGATGAACCTAAAAAATGAAGGAGAACCCCTTACGACCCGTCAGGGTAGGAAAAAACTTCGAAAAAAACACCCCCATATGTTGAAAAAATCGCAGAAAAATAGTAAAAAATTGTTTGCGTTAATAAAACTTTGCACACAGCTCATTGAGGCGCTGATGAACCTAAAAAATGAAGGAGAACCCCTTACGACCCGTCAGGGTAGGAAAAAACTTCAAAAAAACACCCCCATATGTTGAAAAAATCGCAGAAAAATAGTAAAAAATTGTGTGCGTTAATAAAACTTTGCACACAGCTCATTGAGGTGCTAATGAACCTACGAAATGAAGGACAACCCGTTACGACCCGCCAGGATAGGAAAAAACCACCTCCATATGTTGAAAAAATCGCAGAAAAATAGTAAAAAATTGTTTGCGTTAATAAAACTTTGCACAAAGCTCATTGAGGCGCTGATGAACCTAAAAAATGAAGGACAACCCTTTACGACCCGTCAGGGTAGGAAAAAACTTCAAAAAACCACCCCCATATGTTGAAAAAATCGCAGAAAAATAGTAAAAAATTGTGTGCGTTAAAAAAACTTTGCACACAGCTCATTGAGGTGCTGATGAACCTACAAAATAAAGGACAACCCCTTACGACCCGTCAGGGTAGGAAAAAACTTCAAAAAACCACCCCCATATGTTGAAAAAATCGCAGAAAAATATTAAAAAATTGTATGCGGTAATAAAACTTTGCACACAGCTCATTGAGGTGCTGACGAATCTACAAAATGAAGGACAACCCCTTACGACCCGTCAGGGTAGGAAAAAACCACCCCCATATGTTGAAAAAATCGCAGAAAAATAGTAAAGTAATTTTGTGCTGTAATCAAACTTTGCACACACATATTTCAGAGTTAAATGAGAAAATTGTGACTTTTGAATGCCTCTCTCAACAGAACCACTAGCTCCTGATGCCCTAGCCCTACTTTCTTAATATGTCAAAAGGTCATTTGAAGTGGGCAACTTTGATGTGTCTCTATACATTTGATAAGATCTATTAGTGAACTGATTTGATTTTTTACGTAGAATACATATCAAGATCATGTCCCATTGATCTATGGGCTTTTTTAAATTTTTTGGAGCACCGATTTGTTGTTTCATCCGGCTCATAAAATCTCTTGAAGCAATGAGTATGCCCTTTTGCATATTAGGAATTTCGAGAATATTTTTCTACTTTTCAGACAAAGTCTGATTTTTGTCAATAACAGCCATTAAAATTTCTATAAAAGGCTTGCAGTTACTCAAATTTTTTCCATCAGAATGAGGTGTCAATATGAGGTAGTTCAGTATTAGAAATAGAATTACTAATTCTATTAGATGCTGAAGGATTACTGCTTGTATTTACAATACTACCATTGTTATTTGTACTTGAACCCTTAGAAAGACGAGCCTTTATTTCAGCACAAATTAGAAAATAAACTGATTCTATTTCTTCTGATTTATCAGCTTTTCCAGGATTCAAAAGCAGAAGCCGTATTTGAGTGGTTTGAAATTTCTCAAAACTATTGTCTAATGATTCTTTATATGGGGGCGGTTTTTTCCTACCCTGACGGGTCGTTAGGAGATGTCCTTCATTTTGTAGATTCATCAGCACCTCAATGAGCTGTGTGCAAAGTTTTATTAACGCACACAATTTTCTACTATTTTTCTGCGATGTTTTTAGCATATGGGGGTGGTTTTTTGAAGTTTTTTCCTACCCTGACGGGTCGTAAGGGGATGTCCTTCATTTCGTAGGTTCATCACCACCTCAATGAGCTGTGTGCAAAGTTTTATTAACGCACACAATTTTTTACTATTTTTCTGCGATTTTTTCAATATATGGGGGTGTTTTTTTTTTCAACCTTGATGGATCGTGAAGGCTCGAAGCTTTAGCTTGTAGATTAATCGCCATTTATCACCCTAATAAGCTGTGTTAAAGGATTCATAAGTTAATCATATTTTAGACAAACTTTGTTAAAAGACATTACTAAATTTTTGAATGTATTTTTTTGTGTGTCCTAACAGCCTCCTCACATCATGTTGGTTTGAGGAAACTACCATAGACATGAATGAAACTACCTTCACATTGAAAAAATATAAATAAAAAAAGGCTGCTGAAAATGGCTGCTAACTTCACAATTTTGGCTGCCGGAAAAAGGCTGCTAACTTCACACCGGTTGACTTACATGTATCTTGGGTAAATCGTAATAAGCTCATTTGAAATTGATAAGTATTGTAGTTTCAACAAATAGAAATATTATAATAACCGTCAGCTGATTGTCTATTGGGGGAAAAGTCGTCAGTCAGCCGATAGAAAATTCCGCGCGTCGTATAATTGCATGAGCGCGCTCATACATTTTCGCCCTGACTGACGGTCTTACCCCCACTAGACAGGCAGCTGACGGTCATTATTATATTTCTATATATCTATGAAATCATGTGTAAAAATTTCAAGCGAGATGAAATAATTTGAAATTCATATTTTTTTGTCAAGTTCACGCGCTGGACTGACGCACCATCCCCTCTCTGCCGCACGGCTGATGATCTTTTTCTGTTGCTAATTGTTATAAATAATGTGTGTAAATAATTTCAGCTGGGATGAAAAAACTTTAGAAAACTTTTTTTTCACGAGTTCCGCAGCCTCCCGCGCGCCCACCCACCGCTACTAGACTGGCTGACGGTCGGTTTCGTCATTAGGAATGTGACTACAATGCACGGTATTAATCTCAGCCGTGATGAAATTCTTCGAAAAAAAAGCTGCTGCCTCCCGGACTATAAAATAGTGCGTTATTGTCAAAAATAATTACATAACTAGATCACCGAAATGCAAAAGTAAATAATGGGTCATATTCCTTTTTTATGCCCATTTCAACGAGCTATCACAATACATATCTTTACATTTGAAAAAAAAAGTTGGGGGTGGTTTCTACCCTTAGGAGAGGGTAAATTCCATGGAAAGGCCGAAAAAATGTGCCAAACTAAAAATAAAGGGACGCGTTTTTTTTTTTCAGAAAATAAACAGGCTCTCTGATACTAATTTTATTTCATTTAAAAATTCCACCCTGTATAAGCGTTGACACTAGAGAGTGATACATACTGAATTTATGGCCAGAACCATTGCATTGCATTTATCGTGCAAAACTCTTACCGAGTGGTCCAAACAAATATTACTATTCTAAGTATAAATAAAATAAAATCAGACCAAATAGGTATTATTTATTTGCCAAAAACAACACTGTATACATTTGTATTCTAATAAACTTGAGAGAAAATCATTTAACAAAATGGACAATGGACAGCCTCCCTATTATATAAAACCACTTTCAAGAGAGTTCCTGTAAGAAGGCCCTCCATATAAGACTGCCCGGTAACTTTATACCTACTAGCTTTTGCACGAGCCACCGCAAGTCATAAAATATGATTTTCCTCAATACCTCATGGAAAATAAAAATTATACGTTTGTACATACCTACTTACTAAAAAGAATCGATTAGGGCAATAAGAGAAGGCAAATGGTAAACTCACAAAGCAGCAAATGGAGTGGAGACAAAAAATAAATGAATAAATGATCCAAAAGGCCCGAAGCGCAAATGGCTGAGTGAACGTCTCGCTGATTAAACGCATACACGCACAACAACAATTACAGATTCTAAAATAATTTCATAGTAGCTGTTGTAAGACACACTTTGCTTCACGACAAGTCATTCCAGATATGTATAAACCACAATGGTAAATGATCACTGAAAAGAAACAGTTCTATGCAGGGAAGTAATAACATTCTGATTATGTCTAGAATTATTATGCGGATGATTAGAACCTAAGTGAAAAAATACCTATAACTTAAATACCTATTATCCTCAATCCTGTTAAATACCTAGGTTTATTTCTTTTGTTCCTTTAGAATGTTCACCTCTGCCTCTAACAAAATTTACATACAGAATAGTAATAAACACAAATTTAAATTTTCTCAGCCCTTAAATATATGGGATTATTCTCCTTCAATAAGAACCTTTGCTGGTCAATTGTTACAGGCATCTTGGTTTTTGGACTTATACTCAGTTTGAAGTTTGTCAAAATTCGTATTAATCCAATCTTGGATTGCATCAGACCAAATCTTAGACCTAAAATAGCAAAGTATCTATAAGTTTTTGTTCTAATACAAACTCATCAATATCAAAATAAGTACCAATGCAATTTCTAGGGCCTTCGCCAAAAGGAATATGTATGTACGGATCTCTTTTTTCTATTTCTTCTGCGCTAAACCTATCAGGATCGAATCTTTCTGGATCTGGAAAATGTTCAGCATCTCGGCCCAAGCCAAAAGTAGAAATTACTACAGGAGTGCCTTTTTCAATTGTTATATCTGTATCTCTTAATTTGTAATCTTTGGTACAGGTTCTCGCTAAACATATCAATGGCGGAAATAAACGCATTGATTCTGAAAGTTGCAAAACTAATTATTGATAATCGAAATTATTGCACCTCTACTGACCATTCATAACTTGTTGCAAATAAGTCATTTCCTGAATAGCTTCATAAGTTATTTTTCCATCATATTTCCCCAATACATTTTCAATTTCCTGGCGAGTTCTTTCCTGAATTTCTGGATTGCGAGCCAATTCATAGCAAGAAAAAGTCATCACTGTAGATGATGTATCAAATCCTTGAAAAAAAAATTGGGTGAGGTAATTGAATTCAATTTGGATAAGTACCCTATATATTACCTGCAATAAAAAACAAAATAGTATTAGCCACAATTTCATCAAATGTTACATTTGGCTTTCCATCTTTATATTCTTCGTTCATCTTCAGAAGCAGCTGGAGAAAGTCTGGCCGATTAATATTGTTTTTCTTCCTAAATTCCATTGTTTCTTTTATCATACCGGCAAAAAATGCTTTCGATTTCGACCTAAAGACTAGAAATTGATATTATTTAAATAACAACAGATAAAAGAAAAAAATGGTCTTACCTATAACTCCAAGTTTCCTAGAAAGATCGGGAAAGCTATTTACCATAACAGCTTTCAAAAGGATAGGTAAATCAATTTCAAACAAATATTTTCCTTGTCTTCTAAACTCGGCATGAGTACTGTCAAAACTGTTACAATCTACTCCAAAGGCTACTGATCCTATAACGTCGGTTGTAAATGATGCCAGAACCTGAAACAATACTATTTTCACATTCTGTAATCATTAATAATTATATATCCATGAATTAATTTTTTTATAGATTCTTTGTAAATATTTTTATATAGACACTATATTCTTACTTCTCTTGCATCAAAATCATCTCCAACGTTGGCACATTTTTCTAAATGATTGATCATGAAATCAGCACAATGCAACACATTATCGAACATCATTTTCATTTTTCCCGATGTAAACGTCGGCGTTAGCTTCTGCCTCAACGCCTTCCAACTGGAATGTCTAATGTTAAATAAGTGAGTTCCCATAGGATCATGCTTTTCATTACAGTAGACATCGCGGTCGATGAAATGGTTAAAGTCCTGACAAATTCTTGATTATAGTAAAGGATTTTTGAAAAATTCGTTATTATTGTATAACTTACCAGCGACAAAATATCCTTAATATAGCCGGGATCAACCAGTACCAAAACCTTTCTAGAATACGACCAAACACCGCCAAATTTATGACCTTTAGCTTTTAATTGGTCGTACCAGACCTTAGATTCCCCCGCAAAAGTTGATGCTAGCGGAAATAGGTATAAGTTATTTCCTGAAAATAGTAAAATTAAAAATCTTTTGTGGTTTATCTTTGTATCAGTGGCGGTTCCTCCATAAGAGCACATGTGCACGTGCACTCCCAAATTAATATCAAACAACTTTAAATTTAATTTTATCATTCTTCAAATTTTAACAATCTACCTGTAAAGTATTAATTTAAAAAATTAGTGGCCAAATGCGCCAGCAAAACAAACGCAACCGGCATTTATTATGAATTACAAATTATGTGCACCCCCAATATGTTATACCACGAGCCGCCACTGCTTTGTATTACAATGGTTTTACCATTACTTGTGATTTGGGATAATTAGTTTTTCCAAGAGTTATCTTTAGTAATATTCACTTAACTTTAATGTATATGATTATACCCTATAGATCTAAAATAAATGCGGAGAGCTCTTTCGAACGATTATTTTTTCAATGAAAGTTTCAAGGAAAGTCAAACTCACTTCGAAAAAGCTGTAGAAAACTTATTTATAATTCAATTATCAGACGAACCCACATCTGTCCCAAAATTGAGATTCCAATACTTCATGAACGATATGAAGATTGGCCGCTATTTGATGATATATTTCGAAAAGTCCTACACAGTACTTCCTCTCTCCAGCTTTATGAAAAGTGAAAACTCATGTTTGTGGGAAAGCAGTCAGAATAATACGAGTGGCAAGCACGGAAACTAACTATGAGTCTGCGCAAATCTTCTTCAACGACGCTTGGAAGATAAAAAGCTTCTATTCTAGTATCCAAACTTATCGACAAAATCCTCTCCTCAAGCCGCATTGAGGATTCAGTAAAAACAGCTTCATAGCGTAACCAAATAACGCGCAGAAGCAATGAGTGAACTTGGATACGAAACAAGCATTCATTATTCGGATGATAAGTCGCAAATGAAATGAGAACAATAGCGTATATGGAAAGTACATAACTTTCTCGAATGTATGAAGTTTTTGCAAAGAAGGTTTTACTACTCAGGAACAACTGCATTTTGATTCAGCATTCACTATTCTGTAGCAAAAGTATACCGTTATGAACAATCCATACAGCTAGTAATAATACAAGGATTCGGAAAGAGTACCTACGTTTTACTTGCAACAGCATTGGTTGCAGTGGAAATAGCTACGTCCCAATAACTACTCTGAGTTCTTATTGATTGAGCATTGCAACTGCATCTTTCCCATCAAACAATCAGATCCAAGATTCCTGGAGTAGAGGAAGACAACTCCAAAAATAGATATAAAAAGGATCTATGAGTCTTCAGATCAAATTTCAAATTCTGAGAAGTTTTTGTCTCGAGTTGAGATAGCACATCTGAGTTAACGTCACTCATGCCTAAATAAACTCCAGGCAAAAACGAAATCGCTGATCCAATAATTAATGCCATACTTAAGGCCAAAGAATATGAACCTACAATTTTAAATAGTCTTGAAAAGTCTAGAGGAGTGTTGAAACAAAACACTGATGAATTAGTACGGGTAGTATCAGAAAAAGATCAATTGAAGTAATAAGGATGCTCACAAAGCTCTTTGAAATTGAAGCAGAACTCATTCCCCACAAAGAAATTGAAGCTGGCCATGTTCAAGAGGAGTCAAACAACAATCAAAAAACCTTTCAAGATGATGATGGAAAATTTATGATCGGAACTCCTTTTAAAAAAATCCCTAATTGCTTAGGCCTCTCAAAAATTGCAGCAGTTGGACACTGGCAAAATGTATCACCAAACTGAAATTCACAAGGACGATGGGCACTTTCAACGAATTTCATGGAGGGACGAAAACACTATAATCGAATACGAACTTGCTACTGTGAATAATCGAATGTAATACCACAAGAGGTTTGAGGATTACCGGATAATACTTTTACCTGTCACGAAACGCGTTACGCAGCAACACCACGAGTCCTAAGGAGGAGTGGTGTTGCTGGTAACGCGTTGAGTGTCAGGTAAAAGTATTAGGTAATCCTGAAACATCGAGTGGTATTTAAAAGGTTATACAACGAACTAAACTTTAATGCTTTATTAATTTTTATTATTATTAATAGCAAATGAACAATATTGCCAGCAAGCGCGTTAATCCCAAAAGGCTTATCACTTATTAAGCCTCTCGTGTCATATGGGAATAATGTACAGTGAGTTGTATAATCATATAAACATAAAGTGTCACATGCACAGTAAAGCAACCTAATTTAGTAAAATAAGTAATGCTTTCCCGCCTAAACGTGTTTTGGGGACAGACGACAGATGTACACAAAATTTACAGAAATTAATATTATAGCTCCGCCCAGTATTTCGCCGTTTCCTGGCAATAGAGGTCATTGAGATTTGTTTGATTTATGAAGGCTTTGGTATTTACCGGCATTCTTTATTAATGTCCTAAACCTAACCTTGAAGGTCGGCCATGTTTTCAAATTCAACATTTGTTTATGCGCATTAGGCAATCCAATCTATCTGTCAAAAAGGAAAATTCAATATGGCGTGGCGGCCAAGCAAGTTTGTTTTAAATATGCTTTTATGCGCTATTTCAAATTATTTTGCTTAGAGTTGTGTTTGCAACTTTGATTTTGATTATTTAATAAAATATTTGTTGACTAGGTACCTAAACTATTAATTCGGGCAGAAACTAGATATTTTTTTGTGTTTTTTAACCCATGTGTGGCCGCCACGCCATCTTGAGTGTCACGTGGTTTGAATTGCCTTATTTCTCTTGATGAGTAACCCATCCTTGTTTTGCTGCTGTCAAATGACCAGGACAGCATTACATCGGTGAAACTGCGCATATTATGTCATTCATGATTTTGAAAACTTACTCGTCATAAAGTTCACTGATAAATTTATATTATTTTTATGTTGAGTTGTGTCGTGTTGTGTTTTTTACCCTTGTATCCTTGTACAGGCCGAGATTTGTTTTAGTTTTTGTAATATTTGTGGTTGCTTAAAATGGAAGCGATGAGCAATAAAGCTTGTTGTGTTGCTGAATGCAAAGACCGGACCAACAGGAGACATGGGTTTCTCTGTACATATTAATTATATTTTCTAATTAGATGTGAGATGCATTTGTTGTCACAATTTTTTTTTACCTTTTATTGCTGACATAACACACAAATATAATAAATTTTCACTGTTTATATACATATTTTTAGTATAGGTCCCTTCCTAATATATTAAAATACACTTAGTTTGTAAAGAAGTTCTAGCAATAACTGATTTTTGGAACGGTTTTTTAATTTTTCGTTCCATAAGCCAGCACAATAATTGTGCAGATTTAATAAAAAAAAAAAACTATTTTACAAAAAAATTGTATTTTAAAATGCTTTGGCTGCATTTATCCAAGGAATTATTTTTCAGTGGGCGAAAAAAGAAGAAACCTGTAATTATTCGCTTTAAAGTTGAGGAATTTTGCTGGGGACAGATTACAGATGTCGCAACAATAGGTCATTTTTAATGTTAGAGTGGGGTAAATAGCCGTTGGTTGTCTAAGTGTGGTGGTTTGTGGTCACATGTACATTTAAATTTTTTCATTAAGACGGGCGTTTAAATAAAATGTCATTTACACACGGATTTAAATGAAAAAGTATAAACACATAGAGTAGCACATCAACAATAAATTTCCAAAATTTCGGATCATAAAATACTGGAATAAATGAAAAGGACACAATTGACGAAAATTTATAATGTTTTTATTCCAAAATTAATCAAAATCTGCCAAACAAGAGGTGATTGCTGTCATTTTCAGCCGAGACTCAAACCAAACGTGTGTTCAGAGCTTCTCTTAAAGATGTCGCTGAGTTCGGGAAGCATAGTCACTTTATTCAAACGCCAGTAGAAACTGTTTCACCTAGCTAAGAACGTGAAATACTATTATTTCATTTGCTTCTGAATAAAATTATTTAGTCCACTGTATATTACTGTGTAAACAAATTGATATTGAAGATGTCGCCATCTACTTGTAAATAAGTCAATCACTTACAGGGAATTTGCACACCTGTGATTGAAAAATATTTAATGTATTTCATAAAGCCCAAAAGATGGCATGCTGCCATAATGATGATTGTGAATTATTATCTATTCACAATCCGATTTCCAAAGGTAAAGGTAAAATTTATCACCTTTCCCTATCAAATAGTACTGAAAGGTATATGAAATTTACCTTTACGTTTGGGCTACGGACTGTGAATACTGTGAATAGGATATAGATAAGAAGGCAGGTTTGTTCATAAAAAAAAAAACAGTGGGAGTATATAATAATAAAAAAATATTCAGAAGTTGTATTTTCTCTGAAGATACACTCTCAATAAGTATCAAAACTATTTCTACATTTGCGAATTTTGAAATCGATGCGTGGAAGGATTAAAATATACCTCTGGGTTGGATTGAACGTGATCCAAATATACAATAGGACAATAGGATGCTGGCTTAATAATCATTTAAACATTTACATTTGTATTTGTATTTCATAGGTAACTTGTGTAATGTGTCTTTATTAAATAAACGGTTTATACTACTTTTTAAATTAGTTTTTGTAATTTGCAAGTTATTTCTTGATCTACATACTTTACGTATTCACTTGAACTTACCGCAGTGTCGTTTAAGGTTATGTTAGATTATACTTGACGTAGTTCCATAGTTGTGTACTTAATTATGGCGAATCAGTTGTCAACTCCCTATGCGTGACTGTTAGAAGCCCCCTTATTTTTTTAATATTTTATCTACAAGCGTTTGGTTATGACGTTATGACGTTTTTACATAACCATTTTTCTAGTAATTGAGTTATGTCATGAGACTCATAACACAACTAGTGGTGTTATAGACTAGGTTATGAATTCATAACATAACTAGTGGTGTTATGGACGAGGTTATGAATCTATAACACAACTATTTTTGGTGATTTGACAAATGTCAAAGGTAAACCTATAAAGGTAACATGAAGGTGGACAACTACTTATAAACGAAAATAATTGAAAAATTATTCTTATTTTTTGCTTTGTAGATAAAACGTTGTACATCATACGTGCGTTTAAACATGACTATAAAACTCGTGTGATTATAACGTCTCAGTCTACGACCTCGCCATTCTAATCTATCACACTCGTTATTGTAATCATGTTCATAGACGCACTTGTAATGTAAATAGCTATTTTGATATACACCACCAGACTTTTGCGATTATTATTGAATGATTAAAAAAGTTGTCACATTATACTTTGTAAAATAAAAGTATTTTTGGAAGAAGTATCGGCTCTTGCTGCAAAGGTATTATCATTTTTAATATTTGGCGACCGTAACAGGATACTTCTATTGCAAGTATGGAGAAAACCAAGAAAGCCCTAGAACTACATCGGCGCCTTTTACAAGGATCTGTAGAAAAGTACGATTTAAGTGAAGTACATAGTAGTATTGGAGATTTGGACAATAAAATACTTCAGTTTACCGAATTGAATCAACTTATGTTGAACTTGATGTTAAACTCAGTTGACGAGGAAGCAAGTATGAATTCGAAGTAGAATTTATGGATGAGTTGAATTTTAGATACCACAAAATCAAATCTAACTTTGATAAGATGTCTAAGGAAGATACAAGCTCTCAGAAATCAGAATTTAAATCCAAACTAAAACTTCCCAAAATTAAATTCAGGCAGTTTGGTGGAGTTTTTGGAATCAATTTAGTCGAATTGATGAAGATTCTGGCGTAGACGATGTGGATAAGCTACAATATATAGTGCAGGCTACGATTCCAGGTTCTCCTGCAAGACAGCTGATTAAAAGTTACCTGGCACTAAAGGTAACTATGCTTAAGCAATTGACAGTCTGGAACGGAGATTTGGGAGAGAAGATCTGTTAATAGAAGTTTATGTAAGAGAACTTCTTAAGTTGGCCTCAACAAATCGCAATACAAAAAATGGGTTATCAAAATTTTTCGACGAAATCGAGTCTCAGTTAAGAGCCCTAGGAAGTTTAGGAATACAATCCGATGCTTGTGCTGCGATGCTTTATCCGTTAGAAGAGTCCTGTTTAGGAGAAGATCTGATACGAGCTTGGCACCGAAGTCTGCTTTATACAGCCGCTTCTACTTTAAAGAAGCGGCTTGACACCTCAATGGATTTGCTTAGACAAGAAGTGGTGAATGAAGACAGAATTTTTTTCTAACTAATGTGAAGAAGCCTTTGAAACTCACTTTTGCTGAATGAAAACAAAAGTTGTCAGATGCTGCTTATTGTCATTCCTGTACACGTTTTGGCCATGTTTTCCGGAGGTGTCGTTTAAAAGAAAAATGTCCTACCTGTTAAGGAAAACATTGCAAAGTTATGTGCCCGAAAGAAAATGTTAACACGTAAATCTTCAATGACACGGATGCTAAAGACCAAAATTCCAAAACTAGTGAACAAAATCTCAGTTACCACACCTATCCCGAAGTGGGCCTGATATCTACATAATCCCCTTGGTACATAATAGTTATTAATGTCCGACTGATATATTATTCAAGAAATGATGACATAATGTCAAAGTCAGTTAAATACGAAATAATTCCCTAGGCGTTATGACTATTTTTTGCAGGTAGGTACTTGATTTTTTTTAGATTAGTTTATTTAAAATTCATTCAAAATGTTCTTATATAAAAAATAATTAAGTCGGACATTAAACGTTGAAGGCACCACGGGTATTAACGATATTAACGCTTTCGGTCAACGTATATCCCTCGGGAACACCATTGACCTCAAGCGTTAATATCCTTATAATACCCATGATACCTTAATAACTATTTTGATATATACCACCAGACTTTTGTGATTATATCAGAGGAATGACAGTGATTATTATTGAATGATTGAAAAAGTTGTCACAGTGTTCTTTGTAAAATGAGAGTATTTTTGGAAGAAGTATCGGCAAAGGAATAGCTATATTTGATAGAGGTGGACTCTGAGGATAAAAGGCATTATCAGTTTTACTAATGACATAAATAAGTGTATCATCAGCAAACAAGTTGATTCTACGCATACCTGGAACATAATTACTATCATTCAAAAATATTATAAATAGAAGAGGGCCCAAAACACTGCCCCGTGGGACACCCGTATCATTTAAAAGTAAATCTGACATATAATCACACGCCCTAACTCTCTGAAACCGATCACTTGAGTAAGATCCTAGCCAGTCCAATGCCAGTCCAGTAACTCCATAATATTTTAATTTATTCAACAGTGTTTCTCTATTTATTGTCTCGAACGCACTTTTAAAATCTAAAAAGACAGCTACAACATAGAGACTAAGAGATGACTAAACATCACGTTCCTGGCATTTCAAGGGACAAGGGTTCACAGAGAGAAAATATGGATGTGGGAATGTCTACAGCGATGCAAAATAATCAAGACCTACCTCGAGCATACAGACTAATTCAAAAACGTGTTCTGGAACACTTCGTACTCTGCTGAATATCTTATCAAACTCTAAAAAAGCTATAAGTAGACAACGCCTTAAAAATACTTTAAGAACGGAACAATGGTATTAATTGAAGACAATACGAAATATTGAAGGGCATCATGGCAAGGAAGATACAGTTCGAGTAGAGAGAAACCCGTAATGAAACCCAAGTTCATGAACAACAAAATCCCCTGAATTGGGTTCGAGGTACTTTGAACAGTAAATGTTTCATAAACTGGGTTTTTGTTAGGTTTATTTTCAACCCACACTTTCTTGTCTCATTATTGAGCGATTAAGTCATAAACAGTGTTCATTCTAAGTTGCCTGTTATTTACTAGAAAAATATCATGCGCAAAACAAAGATAATAATAAAGCGGATGTTTACTCTCATTTCCTCCTAGACCACAGATCAAAGTAAAAACACATCTTGCCATACATCAAACAACAACTAATTAGAAGTAATTGACGGTATAGCAACATGTTTTTACTATTGTTCCTAAATGTCCGCCGATAAAACGTAGACAACAATATTTAACAGTTCACTGGCACAAATTACTATTACGATAACTAGAATGATCAGGCAAGTTACAGTAAAGTCAAAATATTATGAATTGAAAGTTAATATCACTTTACTTTTAAAACCAAGAAATTAGTTGACTCACCATATGGAAAAGTTGGCTCCAAATACGGCACTTCTTTTTTTTTCCAGTACTGGTAACTGTGCTTGTAGTGAACAAAAATCCCGATAAAAGCTGCTAGGAATATCAGGAAAAAGTCAAATAAAATAAATCCAGTGGAAATAATGACGGCCATATTCTTGAATAGTTATTGCTAGAATAAACACAAGATATTAGAAACTATAGACTATATTTATCAGGTTGGCTTAACTGTCATAAAAATATTAGGGGGTGGTACTGATAATAAGTTATTACAAATTACTTTATTTGGTAAAGGTAATAAATTTTGCTAATTTCATTTCTGTTTAATAATGGAAAACCTTTCAAGTCTACCTGAAAATTTAGTAATATGTTGGCCATTTTGTCTTTATTAATTTCCACGCTTTCCAAGAAATTAGGTTTAAGTTAAAGATTTATTTTTCATATGTGAAATTTTAAGTCTAATTCATGATTCCCTTATTGAAGATGCATAGCATAATGAGAATCTTTCTTATTGTGCCAACTTTAACAATTTCAATTGGATTATATTAATTCATAATTAGTTGAAAAAAGTTAGATTACTAATTTACCTAATCCAAATAGGGCTAAATCTTGTAGGTTCGTTACTTGAAAAAACAATTGTCGGAATAAAATTATTAAATTGACTTTGATGAAATCATAGTAAGTGGTTTTGAAAAGAGCCGCCCCCTTCAAAATTCTTGCTTCAAATAAGTAGGTAGGTACTTACATTATATTTTCTAGTTGTCCAATTGGATTTTGCACAAACTGAAATTAACATAAATCACAGTATTGAACCAACTATATCACTGCTTTCTTGCTTGACGTATTTTGATATTTATGCGGAAGTACTCGCATATAATTAAGGTATCTTTCAGGAGACTTTGGAACTAGCGGCTCTTTTTCTCGCGCATGGTTTCACCTTGTATTTATACGTGGGGAATTTACAAAGTATATTACAAAGTTAGATTAAATAATTTAAAACTATTCCTGCAATTTTGCAATCAAAATAAATTGTCCGCGCAGCGAGAATAATGTGGTAGATAATGCAGTATAATCTCAATTGCAGTTTATGTTAACAGAAATGTATTTGTTTTTGATTGCCTACTATTTAAGATAACAAAGATCCGGGCCCCCAGACGTGACTTATTCTCTAAAGGACAAAATGCGCGGTATAGAGTATAGAGAAGTCTTTCTATGTACGCATGCAGACGTATTAAGTTGGCTAGACCGCCAATTTATAAATAGGTAACCGGTGCGAAAAGTGAGTGAAACTAGGACTCGTTTCACTTAAATTCTAATTACTAATTTTTATATGTTTATATTATATTACAAATCAATATTCAACACTGCCAAAGACTTCCCGTCGGCCATAACCCAACAAACACAATTACATTCCAAAGACGTCCATAAGATGTAACGTTATGACATACTGTACGTCTCAAAGACGTAATGGGCAAGTCGTATGTCAACTCCATAATACGTCTTAAAGACGTACAACTTAGAGCCATGAAGAACGTCCATAATACATCTTGAAGACCTAATTAAGTAGGTACATATTGCAAACCAAATAGAAGAGGATTTTTTTTACTCAAATCGTTTATTATTTATTCGCTATTAGCTTACTGAACCTGGAATAACAACAAAAGAAAAACAGTAATTCAAAAGTATTACAACTATACCTACATAAATAAAGCATAACCTAAAAGAACTGCAACAACATTCTGTTAAGGATTGATTGGGTTGGGACTCTGGTAAACTAATTAGCACAACACTGTTTCACTGAACTGACTGAACTTAATTTATTATTAATAAATTGGGAATATTCTGTCTATAACAACCTTAGAGCAGGTCTACAGTAGAACTAACATTAGCCTCGTGTTCTGGAAACATCCATCAACATCACAATCACACATAAACTTTTTCGCTTATCCCACTTCTGAAATTGTAGTGGTGGGTCTAATTAACTAAATTGTTGCTGTAATTTCTTTATAAAATAATTTTCACGTAACTTTTGCACAAAATTTCTAACAGGCTTCTAACCTAAAGGTGCGTACAGACATGCAACAGAAAGCCGTAACGTAACTTCACCGCGTATCAAGCACGCGACATGTTCTGTTGCGCGACGTTGTTACGTTGCGATGAGGAAAGTGGGTTTAGTTTGGTGCAACAGAACATCGCCGCGCAACATCGGCGCGGAACATTTAGGCGTCCCAGCTTTTTAGCAACGTTTTTAGTTAGTTGGTATCTACGTTCAAGCAAGATGGACATTGCTGCTGCAGCTTACATAGTTATGCACTATTTAGTGCATAAGAGAAAACGCAGACCAAGACGCTGGTGGCAGACTCAATTATACACCAGTAGAACTGTGTACAGTGGTCGTCATTTATTGAGAGACCTAAACTTCCAGTCTGTGAGTGGTCTATACAAAAACTTTACCAGAATGTCGCCAACTGATTTTGAATTTTTGATTAACCTAATCGGTCCAAAAGTATCAAGAAGAGACACTAATTGGAGACAAGCTATTTCGGTTCAGGAAAGATTGGCAGTAACAATGCGTTTTCTGGCGACTGGAGATTCCTTCACGAGTCTGCAATATCTGTTCAAAATTTCGAAACAATCGATAAGCGCTATAGTACCAGAAGTGTGTGAAGCTCTCATAGAAGGGTTGAAGGAGAATATACAGGTATGTTGATTTATTTATTGCTCAAAATTCTTTATTATAAAACATTTTTCTATAAAATTTTGTTCTTGAATATCATTTAATTATCTGGCAAGTTTAAATCAGTTAGTAATGTTGCACTGGTAAATGGGGGTGGATTGCTGGTAGAAGCGGAATAATTTGTCATACCCGAGCATTGTGAACTTGCTGATGCTGGAGATATTAGTGGCAGTGGTACCGGTGAAAACTGAGGCGCTTGGGATGATGCGTCAGTTGCAAAATCCCAATGAGCTGCGGGACGGGGTGAATATGGGGATTGTATCAACTGAGTATCTTGGTAAACCGAATCACGTTGTACAAGTTCGCTTTGGATTGTGGAATAATTGTTTGATTGATAACCTCTTGGAGCGGGATATTGATTATAATACCCCTTGTCTGCCGCAAATAAAATATTCATGATGGCTTCTTGTACTGCCGTTTGTGCTACGTTCGAATATTTACTAAGTTTCTTGGCTACAAGATTTCCAAATATTTGACATTCGCTTGGATCCTGCGGTGGTTCCTTATTCGATGCCTTTGTTAGAATTTCGAAAGCAGCATCCAATTTTTCAACTGCACGTTTTTTGTTCGGGATACTATGAGTCATCTGAGGGGGTTTTCTTTCCTTGTTACTGACTCTAATCCGAGTCTTTGGAGTCTGCTGAGACTCGTTGGGCTCCTGGGTCACGCGAAGCTCATGAGTCTCGTGAGACTGCTGAGTCCCGTGAGGCTTCTGAATCTCATGATGCTCTTCAGTCTCGTCAGGCTCTTGTATGTCGTTAGTCTTCTGGGGCTCCTCAGAGTCCGGATTCATATCTTGCAAAGCGGTATCATCATCTACATCATTACTTTCGTCTGTTTCTTTATCAATCTGCAACCAAATAAAAAGTTCTGTTGATATTTTTTCGATAATATGACAAAATAGTTTTCTGGGTTGGGAAAGAAATGTCTTGTAGATCAGGTCATAAATTCAAGGTTTTTTAGTTAGTAGAATCATTATTCTTTGAAGTTTCTGAAAACGATATTTTTTACAGATACCAACAACATCAGAGGGGTGGTTACAAGTAGCAAAACAATACAACGATATTTGGAACTTTCCGCACTGCCTAGGGGCAATCGATGGAAAACACGTCGTTTTGCAAGCACCTATTAATACAGGAAGCGATTTTTTTAACTACAAATCGACATTCAGCATAGTTCTTTTTGCAGTAGTAGATGCTCATTACAACTTTTTGTATGTTGATGCTGGAGGCCAAGGAAGAATTTCTGATGGTGGCATTTTCAAAAATTGTTCCCTGTTCAAAAAACTAGAAAAAAATGAGTTAAGATTGCCACTAGCTGAAGCTTTGGATGGTAGACAACGCGAAATTCCCTATTTTTTCATTGGAGATGAGGCGTTTGCTCTCACTGATACATTAATGAAACCGTTTTCGGGAATTCACCCCAAAGGATCATTACAAAGGGTTTATAATTATAGATTATCTCGCGCGCGAAGAGTCGTAGAGAATGTATTTGGTATTGCTTCAGCAGTATTTAGAGCACTCCGGAAACCCATGCTGCTAAGTCCTGAAAAGGCTGAGCTCATTGTAATGGCAATAGCTCACTTACATAATTTCTTAAGGAAAAGTTCCTCCTCCTGTCACTTGTATACACCAAACGGAACATTCGATACGGAAGTAGAGGGAAAACTTGTCGATGGAGCGAGAGCTTCAAGTAATGAACCAACTACTTCGCTACTTCCTCTCAGAAATATTCCCAGAAAACCATCCATACAGGCTAAAGCAATTCGAGAAGAATTGGCTGATTTCTTTCAAAATGAAGGGCGGATTTTGTGGCAAGATAAATATACTTAAATAATATTGAAAAAAATAAATAAATAAATAAATAAACACTTACAGAGCTTTGAGTATTGCGTACTTTGTTTTTGTCCCACAGGAATAGCAAGCTCTTGAATGCGAACCAAGAACTTTCATACACATCGGAACGCCCTACAATTGAAATAATAGTATATTAATCAATTCATATTATACTATTACAAAAGTCAATTGGAACAAGGTACCAACTGGTGGCTGACTGATGGTCACTGGAAAGTTCCATAAGAAATGCACTGCCGCCACTGCCACTAGTCAGCCGGCCACCAGTATGATTTATGTTTACCTTGTTCCAATTGACTTTGGAAAAACTATACCAGTAGTAACAACCCAAGGACATTGATAATTGTTCGAAAACATTTTTTTAACAGGTTTCGAAAGCTTGTTGAAGGCAACAAGCTTGAGAAAGTTGTTAAAAAAATTGGCTGTTAGAAGTGTCAAAAAAATTTAATTAATTAATAAATCTTTACCTGTTCCGGTGCCCATGCTTTTTTTAATTTTTGACTTTTCCCGCCTCAGCGCTGACTGCAACGCACTAATTTTCTTCTTGCACTCGTCAATCGTAGCACCTACACTTCTTGCGACATCTTCCCACGCATCATTTTTCTGAATTTTATTAAAATATCTGGGATGTTTGTTATTCCATAAAATTTCCTTCCCTCTATAAATTTCGATAAACTCAAGCACACTGTCTTCCGTCCACTCCATTTCTATCGAAATCAAAATAGCAACTGAATTTGACTGGAAATAGTGGAAATACAAAAGGGCAAAACCAAAACAACGGCACCGGGTTCGCAAGCACGTCCAGACTAAAAAAATCAAGTGCAACATCGCCGCGAACATTTCTTTGATGCGGTGTCGATTTACCGACAACCGATGGGACGCTGCGATGTTACGGTGTTACGCGGTTGCTGTACTGCTACGATGTTGCAGAGTACGGTCCAGATATGTCGCGTACTTGTTACGCGGTGAAGTTACGTTACGGCGTTCTGTTGCATGTCTGTACGCACCTTAACGTGTCGTTCGTCACTTCACATAAGACATAAAGACATAACCTCAATCTCGGAACAAGGATATTACACCTCTCCTTTGCTAACTACCTCAACATCTACGTCATCATTTGTCAAATTTAAAAATGACCCATAAATGAGAGCGAAATTCAAATAAAGTTTGTTTTTTATTTAAAGATAATTCCCCAAGTCAAAAATTTAGTAATTATGTTGGCAACACAAACCTTTTCTGCATACAAAATTTGAAAGCATTGACAAGTTTACATTGTATTGCCAACATAATGTCATTTTGACTTTTATCTTAAAAAAAAAACAGACTTTATTCAAATTTAAATTCCTACAGATCTGTTTGTATTTT